AAGGCCCAGGTGGCCCCCACAGCCAGCCCTTTCCACCCCACCCCACCCCACCCCCCGCTCCTGCCAGGACGCCATCGGGGTGACGGCCCTGCAGGAAGTGAGCCAGCGATGCCCTCTATCGTTTGGCTCATCCCCACGGCTGCCGCTTACTGAGCAGTAGATGCCCCGGTGAACAGATCCTGAGCTTTGGATCCAAGCCATGTGTGTCAGTCCTGGGCTCGGCCACTCACAGCAGCGTAACCCAGGCCTTTCTGCCTCCCCCACCCCAGCCCCAGCTGGCCCTCTGCCAGGTGGCACTCACACTGCCCATCATGAAGTGGGCGGGAAGCACTGAACAGGGGGTGCCTCCTGCAGAGCCCGCACTGTGGAAGGCTGGCTACGTGCACCTGACTGAGGCTGCCTGGCCATTTCTCGGGGAGGAGCAGGTGTTTGCCATGGCCGCAACCTCCGGATGCACACCAAACCCTTAGCTGTCACTCGGGGTGAGCCCCTCCCACAGCCTGGAACTGAGGCCGTGCCCCAGAGGGGCAGGAAAGTGCTGGTTCCAGTCCCCGTTTGCGGCATCTGGGCCTGAATTCACACCCTGCCCGTGCCCATGTCCCTCAGCGTCTCTCCACTTTCCTTCCCTCCCTCCAGCCTGGAGGAGAGCTGATACCCACTCGGAGGGGTGGCCGTGGAGAGCTGATCGAGGTGCAGGTGTGACTGGGGTCCAGCAAGGAATAGGGGGCACTCGGGGACTCGCTGGGTGGGGGCCACTGCCACGCCCAGGCCTGAGGGGCCCTGAGGAGGCACTCCTGCTCCGGGGACAGCGAGGGATGTGAAGCTGCCCGACACCAGCGTGACACAGGTCACACAGCACAGCCGCTGCAGAACCTCAGCCCAGCCTCCTCCCCGCCCCGCCCCCCGCCCACAGATCTCCTCCTGTGCCTCCCGGTGCCAAACCCAACTGGAGCCGGGGGGCCAGGGAGCCTGGGCGTCACATGTGGCACCTCTCAGAGGACACGTGGCACCTCTCGGGACAGAGCCGTTCAGACAGATCTGGGGACAAAGGGAGACTATCTGGCTGTGTAGGCTCTGTAACGGCCCCCAGGTGCCCCATCCTGATCTCCGGAGCCTGGGAATAGGTTACTTCATGGCAACAGAGAGTTTGCACATGTGATTACGTGAAGGGTCTGAGATGGGGTGTGATCCGGATTAGCCAGGGCCCGGGTCAGGCTGTTTACGACAGGGAGGAGGAGGGTCGCAGGCTCTCAGAGGGGATGTGAAGACAGGAGAGGCTGGAAGATGCGGTGCTGCTGGCTTTGAAGGTGGAGAAGGGGCCACCAGCCGAGGCATGCTGGTGGCCTCGCGACGACGCTGGAAAAGGTAAGGAAGCTGGTTGTCCCCAGGAGCCTCCAGGAAGGACACAGCCCTGCTGACCCCAGTGAGCTGTAAGAGGATGAGTCTGCGCTGTGTTAAGCCGTTAAGCTTGTGGTGATTTGCTAAGACCTGCACAGTTCCCAAGGGGGTCCCTCTGGCCACCCAGCCCCCTCTCTGATCTTGAGGTCCCTGTAAGCCCCAGCCTGACAGAGGCCAGAAGGATGGCTCATGCCTGGGAGCAAATGCCTTCGTTAACCGGTGACAATACTCAAACAAAGGCTATGGACATGCTCTGAGTTGCTCCCTAATATTTTTCTCCTGTGTGCGTGCGTGTGTGTGTGTGTGTGTGTGTGTGTGATACGTATGCCCATGTACGGACTGTCTGGGAAGGGAGGAAGCACAGTGTAGGACAGAGTGCCCAGCCCAGAAGCCTGGAAACCTGGATGCTCATCCTGGGTCTACCACAGCTTCCAGGTAGGATCTAGGGCAGTGATGGCGAACCTATGACACACGTGTCAGAGGTGACACGTGAACTCATTTTTTTGGTTGATTTTTCTTTGTTAAATGGCATTTAAATATATAAAATAAATATAAAAATATAAGTCTTTGTTTTACTATGGTTGCAAATATCAAAAAATTTCTATATGTGACACGGCACCAGAGTTAAGTTAGGGTTTTTCAAAATGCTGACACGCCGAGCTCAAAACGTTTGCCATCACTGATCTAGGGAGTTACTAACCTTCTCTGAGCCTCAGTTCTCCCACCTGTACGAGAGGTGGGACACAGGCCCTAGTCTATTGGTGTTCCCATTCCATGGTTCTAACCGCCTCCTCTCCTGTCCCCAGCCAGGCTGACCCGGGAGTCAGGGTGGTCAGGGCTCATGGAAAGTCACCACGGTCCAGAACCCAAAGCCCTTTCGGGAAAGTCCCAGGGACCCCCAGCTCCCGGCCCAGGGACCACAGCCTGCCTATTCTCTGCTGCCCCCTGCTGGGCACTCAAAAAAAAGGCTCCCAGCCAGATCCCTTGGAAATGGTTGAAAGGGATGGACCCTCAGGAGATGCCCTTACAGCCACCTGCCCAAACCTGGCCAGCCAGGCCCTCCTGGAGGCTGCTGCCGGAGCCCATATGAAGCCAGTGCAGCAGCCTGGTGGGAGGCTGCCTGCTGTGGGCCCTGGTCAGCTCCCCTGACTCCTGCATCCGCCTCCCTGCGCTAGGAGAATGGGGTGAAGTGGGGTGAAGTGGGGAATGAAATGTTGCTGGGGTCTTTCCGCATCTACTAGGGTAAATGAAAAGGGGGTTGTGCATAAATGAATGAAGAAACTAGAGAAGAAATATGAATTTGGAAGGCATTTTGGGGAAAGCCAGCCAGAAACTTAGTTCTAGTGACTAAGCTCCCCGAATCTCTCGACCCAGGGCTTTTTATTCACACACTTTGCCCTCTAGCAAAGCAGATATACATATCAAAGGTAAGGTTTGGTAAAGGATTATCTGGTTGGGGGAATTGCTTTCAGCCATTCAGCTGTTTGGCCAGCAGCAGGTAATAATATGCAGATTTTCAGCCCTGCTGAAAGAGTCCATCCAACCTTCTGAGGATTCTCGCATTTATTATGACCGCTGGACTTAGCCTCCAGCAAAATGCCATGGCTTCTGAAGTGGTGCTCTTGTCCTGTTCTCTGCCTTTGGGTAATGGTAGCAATATGAGGTGTCCCTGTCCTCTCTCTCTCTCTCTCTCTCTCTCTCTCTCTCTCTCTCGGACACACACATGCATGAATTTACACAAGAGAAGCTCACTAATAAGTAAGAAGCGTGCTGAACAAGGCAGAAATGACCAGTGAAAAGTCTGCTGACCAGGCTGCTTGAGGGCTGCCCCCGGGAAGCGCAGAGCCACTGTGGGTAGAGGCTGCGCACACCGGAGGCGTGTCAGAGGCCGGGTTTCTCCGTGTCCACCATACAGACAGACGGGCGATAGAAACGCTGGGCCGAGCGAGGCTGGGGGAAGCTACCAAAAGTCATGAACCAAAATGTGGCCTGATGTCAACCCACTGGGTGGTGTACAAGAAGGAATTCCTAGGGCTTTTCCCACAGAAATTTCCCTAACGACTGCACAGGTGACACTACACCTGAGGAGGCTTTGAAACATGCCCCTCGTTCACTTGGGCTCACAAATGCCCCGGGACATCGGGAGCTGAGGCTTGCCCACAGGGTGCGTGGGGCAGGACCAAGCAGAGCCCGGGGACACCTTCAGGCATCAGGCCGGCTGGGGGACCACAGATGACGTGAGATCCCCGCTGTCCCCAGAAAAGGAGTGGCCAGCGGGACTACTGCATGTAGAAATGGGCAGGACAGTGGAGGCCGGGAAGTCTGCAGGCCAGAGCTCCTGGTGCTCAGATGATGCCCCTTGCCTGCCTCTTTATCTCCTTCCCAGCCCTGGTAGAGCCTCTGGCGGCTCAGACACCACTGTGGCCTCTCTCCCAGGGCAGTTAGGAGCAGGGGACAGTCCTCTGCCGCTCCCTGCTGGCCACTCCAAGCAAAGGCCCCAGGACACTCCTCTTCCTGCTTCTGTCCCCTTCCCGTGACCGCCTCTAGAGCCACCTGGGGTTCTCTCTCAATACACCCCCCGGACACCCCATTAGACACCGAGCCTGAATCAACCCAAGATTAACCCTCTCTCCTCCCTGGTGGGAGGGCTTAACCCTCAAATGCCCTCGTCCTGCAAAAGCCGGGAGAAGAGAAAAATCAAAACACTCCCCGGTTCCAATATCTGCCGCTACACGTGATGCCAGAATACCCTCCACCTGTGCCAGGGGTCACGGACTCGGACCCACAGGAAAACAAATGCAGTCACGGCGCCACCGGGCCCTGCGGGAAACGGCCTCGCTGGCCCTTCCATGGAGATGCCGTTTATCGATTTTCAAAGCTGAGGGTCAACCTTTGGACGCAGCACGGAAGGTTGAGGTCTGGTCACAGGCCGAGCACAGGTGCTGACAGCCCGGAGGATGGAAACGCAAAGGCCCATCCGACTGCTCGGTGGGGGGATGTGGGAGGTGGGCGAAGGGTCCCAGGGGCTGCGCCCTCCACCTGTACAGGGGTGGGCGAAAGTAGGTTTACAGTTGTGAGTACGAGAAGCACAGCTTATTCTTGTCTTGTTATTGATTGATTATTGTATTATGTGTTTGTATTGTTGCCATAGGAAGGACTGTAAACACACTTTTGCCCACCCTTGCACGGAAGAGAGTCAATGGGCTTCGATAGAGAGTTCTGGAGGGAGCGGATGAAATTACCAAAGTAACCAAGCAAAGAACCAAAAATATCACTGTCCAAAACAGGGAGAAGGGGAAGGAAGGGCTGAGAAAGCGTCAAAGCACTGAATTCTCATTTTCCAGTGACCTGGGGTAAGAGCAGGCGTGGAGAAAGTGTGACGTACACGTTATTTGGAGATAGAGAAAACGAGCAAAAGAGTGAAGTCCCGGGCCAAACCGCTGGCTCTGGGCTTAGAAATAAGAACTTCACTCTCATTCATAAACGCTTTGGGCTTTTATTTTTGCCAGGGGTAGGTATGAAATTGATTTTAAAATTTAATTTTAAACTGTAAAATGTGACACCAAAACATTGGCCAACTGAACCAGAAATGGCCAGGCCGTCTACTGGCTGCCCACCGCCGGGCTGTCCTGCGGGCACAGGGGGGTCAGCGC